GGCCCCACGATTCAAAAAGGATGTGGAGAAGCTTGAGAGAGTCCAGAGAAGAGCCACGAGCATGATCGGAGGTCCGGAAAACAGACCTTACGATGACAGGCTGAGTTCTATGAGGCTCTTTAGCCTGGAAAAGCATGGCTCAGGGGTGATCTGATGGCCACCTATAAGTTTATTGGGGTGACCATTGGTATCTGGGGGAACGTTTGTTCACCAGAGCGCCCCGAGGGATGACGAGGTTGAACAGTCATAACCTACTGCAAGACCATTTCAGGCTGGACATAAGGAAGAATTTATTTCCTGTCCGAGCCCCCAAGGTCTGGAACAGCCTGCCATCGGAGGTGGTTAAAGCACCTACATTGAACACCTTCAAGAGTAAATTGGATGCTTATCCTGCTGGGATCCTATGACTCCAGCGGACTTCCTGCCCTTCGGGCGGGGGACTGGACTTAATGATCTTCCGAGGTCCCTTCCAGCCCTAATGTCTATGAAATATGTTTTACATAATGTAAATGTGATCCTTTTGCCAGACCCTGGAGAGCAGAGTAACAGGCCAGTGCCCCAGGGCTGGTCATGAGATCCCCAGGTGGCTATACGGTTCTTGCCCCACTTTGGTTCTACAGTACCCTCCCTTTGCTATTTCACCTGCTATGCCTTGATATTCTTAGTTGATGTAGAAAGGGAAGCTGCCCATGTGTCTTAGAGTGAGCCCTGGTCTGTTTCTGTCAACAGATTCCCCCCTCTTGGACCCTGCTGTTCCCAAACAATCTTTTCCATTGAATGAGCATCCTGGCCCACACATACCCCCAAGCACTTGTCATCTTATGAGCTATTCACAGCCTCCCAACCTCAACTACATCTGTACCCAGGTTTTTCCCAATCAGCACTTTAGTAGGCAAGCCACCAGGCCTCCATTCCCTTCTTGGGGCCTCGGCCTTCCCAGCCTCTGCCGCTGTGCTCTAGCTGGTCCCTTTGACCTAGACCCACTGCACCAAGCCTGGTTTCTTGGGCTCCAGCCCTCATTCACCCTCTTGAGCTCTTATCTCTGACCCTCTCTGGGCTGTAGGCTCTTTAACCCTGTCTCTGCCCTCTCTGGGTTCCTGACCCTTGCTTTACCTCCTGGCCCCATGTCTCACCCTCTCAGGCTTCACTGCAGCTTGCACCCTGCTCTGGCAAGCCACAGTGTCATGTGCCTCCCTAACACTCTGGGACCTCCAAAGCTCCCTACAGCCCCAAGCCCAGCCCACCAGTTAACATTCACACAAAACAGATAATCACTCTGGCTCTAATAAAACTCCAAGCCAACTGGCTATCTAACAATCCCCGCTCCACCCCCCTCCCTCCCCTATCCCCCTTGCAGCAAGTATTTAGTGACTTACTGATATTGTCAGGGCATTCCAAGAGTCAGCAGCACTTCCCCTTACAGCGTTCCAGCGCAGGAGCTTTTCACTCTGTAGCTAACAAGATCAGACTGCCTGCCTGGACACAGGCACTGGTTTTAAGTCTCCTAAGCCCAGCCCCATCCAGGCATGTGACTCTGTGGGCACTCACAGGATTTTCCCCTCTGCGCCTTTTGACCTGCTTGTTCTCCCTGTTAGGACTTAGCTCCTCTGTCTGCAGCACATTGTTTCTGGGCTGCCTCACTGACTGCCCTTGGCAGATTTTACTACTCTGCCTCCATCCACAGGATGAGTTACCTTCCCATAGTTAGCCTCTACCTGCATCTTACAATCTGGTCTGTTTGCTGGCAGCCATTTCATTAATAACTAGCTTGTTTCCTAGCTGCCAGTCTTTTCTAAGTAAGCTCAACCCAGTACTCTTTCCTCTTAGAATAACAACAGCCTTCTAGCTCTCTGTTACAGGAAGTAATAAGGGCCAGGTTCAAATTCAGGGGTTTAACACCAATTATGTGTTAATTAAGCCCCTACCCAGAAACTTAGGAAAGTAAATTTTAATCAAGTGTTCTAAAGTGAACACATTTCCCCACATGCAAGGAACATTCAATGTTCAGTTGGCCCCCACATTCCACCTCTCCCCTCCTTCCTGGGCCCGCAAATCTATCCTGACCTCTCCATCCCACTCCCTGCCCCACTTGGTGTCTCAGACTGCCTGGAGACACATGGATTTACCTACTTTCAAGGCAAACACCTGTTAAAGACAGGCAACCACAGACAAGATACAGCAGTACCACATGGCTAGAGAGAGAGGCTACAGAGGTTCCCATGGACCACAGGACCCAAACAGAAAGCTTCCCGAAGGGCACCAAGGTGCACTCTCCCTCCCACACAGTGGTGATGCGCTGTTTTGTCTATCCATCAACATTCACATCCAGCCTCATTTTGATGACAGGTCTTCAATCAAGCTCATAGTTTCTTTTTTTACAGACAGCTCAATTTTGTTTTTCCAGCCAAGCATTTTCAGCCTTTTTTATGGACTGTCTATATAACTGAAGGTAGAGTGCTTTGAGGTAATAGGGACAATTCTATTTCTTCAATGGGAGACTGCCATGTCTTGCTTTTGTGCTCAGAATCCTACTGATTGCCAGATTTAAAGTTGAGAGAGACCAGGTTGGCAGACAGCTTGGAAGATCTACACCTTCCCTACATTTTGGGGCATAGTTCCCTCTTTAAGATTTTATGGATCTCTCTCACCTAACCACTTCCTTGTGATAGCAAGGACTTTGGGCACTGACAGCACCATAATCTTTTCTGCTCTCTGCCTGTGGCAAAAAGTTTAGTAAAATGGTTTCATCCAACACAAAGCCTTTGGGTTTAATATACAGGTAACTAGGTAAATTTAAATGGCCTATAATAGAGGGGATGCCTGTAATAAAGGGGATGTCAGACTAGATGATCTTCAAGTCTTAAACTCAATGAAACTAGGAAGAGGCACATATATTTTTATATAGATTATAATTTTGTAAAGGAAGCCACAATTTGAAAAAAATGCTATCCAAATGCACACTTATAATTAGATCATAAGATCTAGTATATCACAGTGTCTTTAAATTCTCATACAATGATTGTGTGTTGAAAAAAACCAGTTCTACCAGTAGTATCTGCTTTGATAAATCAAATAAAATTTCTTTTCTCCCTTCATTCTCCAAAATACCACCCCCCCAAGATACAGTATTGGTTTATTATGGACTAGTATTTTACTATATTTTAATTTATAAAATTAAGCTCTGATGTTGCATAGTTCAGAAAAATAAAATGGCAAACAAGGTATTTATCTGACTACAGTTAATACTAAAGGCATGTGTAGATGAAATGGGGGCCCTAAATTGAAGCAGTGGGTTTTTAAAAAACACTGCTTCAATTTAGGACTGATTAAAACCCCATGTTGCACACACACCCCGCTGACTTACCTGCCTCTCTGGCGGGGAGGGGAAGCAAGCAGCTGGCGGGTGGAGCGATCCCTGGGCTGCAGGGGGTGCTGATGATTCCCTCCATGGCAGCTGCAGGTCCCCCCCCAAAAGGTGGCACCCACACAGGGGGCACTGCAGCTGCAGAGGGAAGCACTAGGGCCCAGCACAACTCAAAGAGGCAGTTAGACTCTAGTGGGGGGAAAGATCAGGCTCACTGCTTTTCTTGGGTGGAGCTTGCTTTTCCAAGCTGCTGCCAAGCTGCCTGCAGGGCTTCCTGCAGAGCTGTGGAGCTGCATGGAGCCCGGTGCTTAGCTCCACAGCTGTAGGGGCAGTAAACTAAAACTCCTCAAAGGTGTTTTAGTTTGCTGTGCCCCAAAGTTATTAATAGGCGCATTACGCCGCTGAATTTTCTACAGCAGCTGGAATTAATGTGCAATATGCTGCCAAGGAGTGCAAATACTGACACCATTAAAGCATGCAAAAGCATTTAGCCGGCTTTAAAGTGTCATGCACACATGCCTCTCGTTTTGTCTACACATGGCCTATAATGTTAGATGGTATCCCAGTCATACAGAAATAATGGAAGTTTTGCCATTCCTTTCAATAAAGAGGCAGTTTTATTCATTTTATGCAAGACTCACTCCTAAGAAGTGAAAAAAACCCGACTCCTATTCTATAAAGGATTGCAACACTCATGGCCAAAGATCATTCTGTCTTCTTTCTTTTCATGAGTTAAACCCCAAGTTCTTCATGCTAAGGACTTTGTTTGTAGCAGTTATTCTATACTCCATCATTTACATTCAAAGTGGTCTATAAAACAGTAACAGAAGTACTTTGAATACTGAATTTCCACCAAAAGCAACTTTTAATCAAAGCTAATATCTAACTCCTGAAAATATGGGCTTTGGATACTAACATGTGCCGCTAACATGAATGAGTTTAATGCTTAATTCTATTCCCACAAAAGCAATGTGAGTTTTGCCATTTACATTCATAAAAACTTGATTAGGATTTTATTACTCCTTATTACAATAACAGTACTAATGAATTCACTTGATTTTCCAAATCGTGTGTTTTTCCATAACAGTTTTCCATATATATGTAGTGGTCAATGAACACCAAATGTTATTGTTCTGACTCTTGAGCAGCATACAAATCACTCTATAAAACTGCTCAGTTTCATTTGTAGTTCATTCAAAGTTCATGTGAACTTTTATTTCTCAAACCCCTAAGTACATTCCCTTTGGTGCACCATTTCACAACTATAATCAAACCATGAAATGAGGAGACATATTGAGTATTAGTGATAAAGCAGGAAATGGGTGTTGTAGAAATTTCCAAAAAGAATAAGAAATATTCATCACCAACGTTAGTCATATTGATGTAGGCATATACTCATCAGATGAGTGCAAGTGTAAGTTATTAATATTCACTCCAAAGACTGGTAATTACATAACATGTTACAACTGCCTTGAGTTGATAACATTTCCATTTTGGAGACAAAGAGACTGAGGAACAGTGCTCACATGACTTGCCTCATTTCTCCTCAGTATTCACTGCCAAAACAAGAACAAAACTATTTTTCTACATCTAAAAATAAAGTCTGACCTCTCCCTTTTAAATTAGTACTGCTTTCTTTGAACATCAGACCAATAAAACTTGGCAAGCAACTTCCTTTTTGTATTTTTCATGAACTAGCCACAATATTTTCCAAAGAGTGGAGGATGACTATGATTTCATACATTATAGCCCTTAAATGGTATTGAAAATTCAAATCCATTTCTAGCAGACCTTTATACATAAATATATTGCCCTAACTTTCACCAGATTTTGATCTAAAATCTTTCCAAATTAGGTATCAGAATATCATAAAACTGATATAGTTAATATAGCCATATTGAAAAAGTAGCCCATTTTAGAATGCACTGGTGAGTTTTAGTTAAAGTGCCCAGATAGTAGAACAAATAACCTTCATTAGTTAGAGCAACAGTGTATTCACAACTTCAGCTTTCTGGAAAAAAGAAAAGAGTACTGCTTTCTGATGAATTTCTATTTTTGGTGAGTTTCCTTGCTAAGGGCTATGTTGCACACTAAACTTAGTGCGAGTTAATCAGGCACTTATTTGGGCCTGAGGGCCACATAGGCTGTCTGGCGAGCATCATGGGCTGGATTAGCATCCCCCCACACACCAAAACTCCCTATGGGGGATGGGGCCCCAGGAAGCAGTGTTTAGGAGCAGGAGGGGCAAGCAAAGCCGGGATCACAGGACAGGGTCACAGGGTGGTCACAACGTGGGGCTGGGGCCAAATCAGAGCCACGATCCGCTGCCAGCATGCCCCAGGAATGGGCGTGGGTTCTGCGGGCAGGGTCGTGCAGGGAGCGGATTGCAGCTCTGCCCCACCCCAGCCCCACAGTGTTACTAGCCCATGATCTTGGCCCCGGGCCCAGATGCAGCTCCCTGCTCACCTGTGCACCCTGCCCTGGCAGCTCCCTGGGGCAGTGTCCAGGGCCAGAGCTGGAATCTTGGGGTGGAGACAGCGCGGGGCTGGGACAGAGCTGGAAGCCGCCACTGAGCCTTGCTGGGGGCTGCAGCACCCATGAGAGGGAGAGGAGGGCTGTGAGCCCTGTGGAGGAGGCTCGGGAGGACCGTAGCCTCCCTCACCCACCCCTCACCCATCCCCTCCTTGGCCTGGGGTGTGAAGCCTGTAGGCAGGGGAAGGAAGGGGTGGACCCAGTATTGAATCCACACCCCACCACTTGCAGCAGCCAGGACCGGGCTGGGGCCAGGAGGGGTAGGAGGCACTGGGGCACCCTGTCCCATGCCAGCCTGCAGCTCACCCCAGGCTGCCCACATGGCAGCAGCAGCCCTCAGCCCTACTGGTTCAGTGGGGGGCGGAGTGGTGCAGGAGCAGCAGCAGTGGCAGGAGCCCCAGTGAAGGTGCTGCATCTGGGGCTGGGGCCCAAGCTGGGGCCAGAGGCCAGTTGCCAGTCTCCATGGAGACCCAGCCCCAAATCCAGCTCTCTATGGAGACCAGTCCTGGCCCCGGCCCCGGCCCCGGCCCCAGCTCCGGACCTGGATGCACTGCCCTCACCGGGGCT